TGCCCAGAGTGCTATTTACAGTAGCTTATTTTATAGGAAACAGTGAGGAAAGAGGTCTGATACGGTTGCTAAATATCATAGTTGCAACACACATTATTCTTGCACACAAACACTACTGCCATTTCTAAAAGCCCATCACAGAAAAGCCCATGTCTTCTTCTGTGGCAACTACATTATTGCTTAAAGATCCTAATGATTCTAACATCACTCTCTCCTGGACCACTTTTATTTCTCTACACAAAATCAAGCATGCTTAAGTTCATCTTAAAAATCATTTGAATTCAATGGATTTAAGCTCACATAACTTAACAGAGTATAGCTATTGTCTTTGATTGCTATCATGTCTTAATAAATCTTGGGGCCAAAACATTCTCTCCCTCACCCCCAAGTGAAGATTTAACAGCATGCAGAACTTGAGTCATGAGATGTTCAGAGCATTTAATGTCAGCCTCGCTACATTGTGTATTTCTGATTCGCTTTGAAAAAGTCCTGAATCTCTCGTTTGGAAACACATTTCATAAATGATACATGAAGCACCTCAGCTCACATTCTGACATTGTCTCACTCTTATTATACATTTAGTAGCAACTCAGTTTGGCTGCCACAATGACCTCAGGTTCTGTTTTTGAAACTCACGGTAAACCATTTTTCCATTAACCAGGAAGAATGGCTAGCTGAGCACAGAACTTTGTTTTATGACAAGCAAGAAGAAAGTGACTTTGGCATTAAATTGTTCAGATAAAAACGTTTTTCCTTGTAAATGAGATTGTAAATTTCTTTGATTAAAGGTATTAGGATAACATCTTGTGGAAGGGTGATACTGTGTACAGTAATATTAAGTACCTCAAAAAGCAGATTCCAACTGGCATTTAACATTTTTGGTTTAACAAGCCCCTTGTCAGCTTTTTATACTCTTAATAATGTTTATACTCCATCTTTTTACACATTTCATCTCCCTCTTTAGCTCTCTGATAATGTACCAGATTATAAATATTTTATAATTTTCAAAAATCTATACCATTTTTCTATAGATCTTAGGACTTGAATTCCATGCTATTTCTTCAATGCCATCAATTGTGCAGTATGTGAATAACAGTAAACAGTCCCAAAGAAATAAGATCAATTTATCTAATTGCATAGAAGCAGCTGCAAGATACTTTATGCAGCAAGAGAGGGGCTGGGGATCAATTAAATAATAAAATGACAAGTAGATACCCTTTCCAAATCCTTGTTAATTTGACAATGAACTATCATATTGAAAGGCAAGTAGCGTGAATCAATCGAAAAATGCTCATAGTATAGATTGGTAGAACAATGAGTCATTTATGCATATCATATGACAAATTGTTTGGCAGCAATTTGTATCTAAGTGATTGATATATACCCAGGACATATAAGGAGCTGTCCACTTGCTGTAGTTAAAGCTTTCCTCACAGTTGCATCAGCGCCTCTTAGGAGATAAGCCAAAATTGATGTAAGTTGGAATAAATAACGTCAGGCCTTCTAAAGCTCTTTTATATTGTTGGAAAGACTTTTTGTTAACGACTGGTGTGCCCAAGTGATATGCAGAGAAGGTAAGACCCTTTCTCCATCACCCATTATCCTAAATTCTAGTAGTAAAACTGATTCAGGCAAAAGAGAAAGGTGAGATATATTTGTTTTATTCCTTCCTTCCTGCAGGATTTATACTTCCTGGTGTAGCATGGTGGTATAAAATCAATTTATTATTAACATATCCAGCAATAGAATTAACTATTTTAAAGGGAAAAATATTAAAGGCATTGGGTCAGAAGTCAGTTGAAGGATGTTGCAGTTAAACTTGCTGGTTGCAAAGCAAGTGTTAACTTTGATTATTCCAGGTTACAGGCTAACTCCTGTGATTATGTACCTTCGTTTTTTACTCTTGGTGACCACGCAGATAAATTTTATTCATGGCGATCTATCCCTAACCTATTCTTTCAAGTCTCCCAACAGTGCACTCATCACCACTATAACTGAATCCATCCACCTTGCTGCCAGTCATCCTTTTCCTCTCTTTCCTTCTACCTTTCCCAGCATTAGAGCCTTTTCCAGAGAGCTGGGTCTTCGCATAATGTGTCCG